TTAAACAAAATGTAGAAACTGATGAATGACAATACAGAATAAATAAAATGATGCAGCATAAGCACTCATTTCTGGCAGTGGAAACAGGAAGGTGAGGGTGATAGGGGAGGCTCTTGCAAGAGCCGAAGCTCGTGTTGACCCCTGTGGGGGTTTGAGCTTTGGGTGATGCTAAGATGGAGCAAAGAGGTTAGTTGAGAGTCAAGGCAAGGAGTTAAGAGATTGGAGGGAACAGCAGAAGCGCTTATCGCTGGCAGGGCATACAGAAAGGAGAGGTTGATAGGTGAGGTTCTTATGAGAGCCACAGCTTGCGTTGACCCCTGCAGGAGTCTGAGCTTAGGGTGATGCAGATAGAGCAAGGAGGTTATGAGAGGGCCAAAGGCAAGGAGTGAAGAGCTAGGAGGAAACAGCGGAAGTACTCAACGCTGGCAGGGATAACAGAAAAGAGAGGGTGAAAGGGGAGGCTCTTGGGAGAGCCGAAACTTGTGTTGACCCCTACAGGAGTCTGAGCTTGAAGCAGATTGAGCAAGGTGGTAACAAGAGAGCCAAAGGCGAGGGGTAAAGAGCTAGGAGGGAACAGTTGAAGCATTCAACACTGGCAGGAGGAACAGAAAGGAGAGGGTGAAAGGTGAGGCTCTTGCGAGAGCCGAAGCTCGTGTTGACCCTTGCGAGAGTCTGAGCTTGGGTGATGCAGATAGAGCAAGGAGGTTATGAGAGGGCCAAAGGCAAGGAGTGAAGAGCTAGGAGGAAACAGCGGAAGTACTCAATGCTGGCAGGGATAACAGAAAAGAGAGGGTGAAAGGGGAGGCTCTTGGGAGAGCCGAAACTTGTGTTGACCCCTACAGGAGTCTGAGCTTTAAGCAGATTGAGCAAGGTGGTAACATGAGAGCCAAAGGCGAGGGGTAAAGAGCTAGGAGGGAACAGTGGAAGCACTCAACACTGGCAGGAGGAACAGAAAGGAGAGGGTGAAAGGTGAGGCTCTTGCGAGAGCCGAAGCTCATGTTGACCCTTGCGAGAGTCTGAGCTTGGGTGATGCAGATGGAGCAAGGAGGTTACCAGAGAGCCAAAGGCAAGGGGTAAAGAGCTAGGAGGGAACAGCGGAATTACTCAACGCTGGCAGGGGGAACAGAAAGGAGAGGGTGATAGGGTAGGCTCTTGTCAGAGCCAAAGCTCATGTTGACCCCTGCGAAATCTGAGCTTAGGGTGATGCTGATGTAGCAAGGAGATTACATGAGAGTCAAAGGCAGGGAGTAAAGAACTGGGAGGAAACAGCAGAGGAACTCAATGCTGGCAGGGGGAACAGAAAGAGGGTCATGTTAAGCTCTGCGAGAGCTGAAGCTCATATTTACTCCAGCGGGAGTCTGAGCCGTGAGGGGGTTTGCTAGGGATGGACAGATAGATGGCTTTGGCTTGAGAATAAAGGGGTGGCCAAGATTGGGCTGAGAGGTTTGAAAGAAACAACTTGGGTTCTTTGAGATGAAAAGACTGAGGCGAATGTAGGATTTGAAAGGCTTCAGAGAACCAATGACAAGGGTCTGGATCTGGTGCTGGGAAAGCCTTTTAATAATGCCAATTCTGAATGAATGGCTGGAGATTGGTTCGGGAGGAAATCCTGAGAGGTGGACAACTTTGAGGTGTTTCTGGAACCAGAGATGTGATACTGGACGATTAGCGTCATCAGTAAAAAGGGGGGCTAGGGGGTTTGTTTCTTATAATCCTCGAGTGTAGGTATACTAGAGAGTTTGGACTGGGTGGGTGAGGGCAGGAATGTTGAAGATGTAAATGAAATGTTCTTTGTCAATAGATCTATCTTACTTTGCAGGACGAGGAAACCATTTCTTTCCTCATCACACAAAATTAGATCTGCTATGGTGGGTTGGAGTGAGGGTTGAGTTTAAATGTTTCATGCTGTGATGTGTGACTGAAGGGTCTGAAGGTTACTACTTTAATGGTAAGTGATATGGAGTTTGGTGGAGGTTATAATGGGGGTGGCTTAAGGTAATGTCATTTGTGGAAAGGGATGGACTGGCGTTGAGTTGGGGTCCACTTCTGTAGCCAGTGACCAAAGTTTCTGGAAAGAAAATGAGAGAGAGTCAGTGATTTGGTTTTGCAACCTGGCACGTATTATGCAGACATGATAAATTGACTAATGTCAAATAAGACATCTTAAAAGTAGCATTAAAGCTTAGAGTAGGAACGCCTTTGTCTATGCATTATATTGTTTCTTCCTCAACACAATAAATGAGAATCCTAGAGGTGGACCATTCGTCTCCCCATAGTATGGCGGCAGCGACTATTGGGTACAGTTTGAAGAAAGCTGATGAACAATGGTTTCTAGAGTGGAAATAGATTGAGGGGGCCATGTGGTGGCAACCAGTGGCCTCTGAGTACCCTTGGAACCCAACTGATGGGGTAGCACCAGTAAATAGACAAATATCTAATGGGGGTGCGAACAATCTCTGCAGAAGAAGGAACAGCCGTTCCATAGCTTAAGGAAGCAATCCATAAGCGGAGTTCATTGTGGGTGGGTTTTGAGAGAGAAATTGTGCCTTTTAAATCGTGACTTGTGGTAGGGAGCTGGAGTAGGCAAGTTTGAGGTAAATTTGCACTGTGAATTTTAGGTGGCCGAGGATAGATAACAGTATGTGTTTAATTCAAGTCTCTTTCTTATAATACAAGATAAAGAGAAATTATTCAGCCAATTTTCTCTTTAGGAAGAGAAGCTTGGAATTTGAGCAAATCGAAGTTGATGCCTAGAAATTCGATAAATGTATTGGGTCCAGCCTTCTGCGAGCAGAATACCTAGATTGGCGAAAACCTTTTGGTGATCTCTAGGTGTTTGGCTGGAGGCAATGTGGGGGGGTGATTAGAATATCATCTAAAGTTGGATAAGGTGGGGGATTCTGCGATTGTTAGAAAGAAGCCAGTGATGGAGAATTTGCAAGTTGCACTGCTTATGGGACAAATGCGTGAAACCTTGAGTGGTGGGGCAGAGAATGGTCAAACATAAAGTGGTTGTCGATCTCTTTTTAAATAAGATGATCCACAATTTCTGGTTCAATCAGCAAAAGCTGACTGAATATTAGGATAGGAAGGGAGAGCTGAGGTGCCCGGATGGAATCCATAGGTTAGACCTGAAATGAGAAAATCAGAAAAATTAGTGGTGAGAACGCAGTTCTCTAGCGAGGTGAGGAATCGACAGACAGATAGTGTTTTAAATGTTTTGGTAGACGTTCATTCCCCCCCAGGATAGTGGAGGGCCAAGGATATTGAGCATGGCTTGGCTGGTGATCTTAAAAATACCTCTTTAAAGTGGAGTAGGTGAAGTGATAAGTTTAAATTCTGTTCATAACTATCGCAAGAGAGGGCGGGACCATCTCATGTTCTGACAGCTTGGATGGTGACACTTCTCTTTTCAGCTATTGGCTCAATGAAGTGTCAATCAAAAGGTCGGCAGCCATTTTGTTAGACCATAACACAAGTGTTTTTGTCTGAAAGATACTACTTTACTGAAAGCACTCCAGCAACAAGTTTGGATGACAGCAGTGTATCCATGTATGTTTATAAACATGTAAACATGTTGTGGACTAAAGTTTTATGGATTGGATTGCTTTGATCCTTGCAGTCAAATCAGCCAGGCTGTTAAAATGTTGTGGACCTGTGAACAGACAGCAAGCTTGAAAGGTGGGTTTATTTGGTTTGTTATAATCTCTGCTTGTTTACAGATTATAGGAGGACGTTGTCCATAGTGTTTGTCTTTAAAATGGTTTAAATTATTTTTTATTTATGAGAGTCTTGCTTTTCTAAAGACATAAGAAATATTTAGTCTTTTGGAGAGTAGTTTCTCCTTAAGAGAGAAGTTTCCCCTTAAAGCATACTACGTTACCACAGGTGGACCGCGAAGAGCGGTGAGAGTTTGGCTTCATTGCAGTGGCTGAAGTCTCAGGGAGAGCAGGGCTCTGGTTGCAGTTGTAGATATTGTTGGTTATTTCCATATTGATGGGCTAAAAAGTGCAATGCTGTAAAAGCTTTTAGAGCTAAAGCTTTTTAGAAGCAGGAAGCTTTCTTCCAGACGAAGATAGTTGTAGAAAGGAAATGAGGATATATATAGTGGTTTGGGATCCTTTGATTGGAGGATCATAATTAGTTAATGTGGACCAGCTGGGTAAATCATGAGCACATGCTTCTCTCGAAATTAGTTTAAAACTAAACTTCACATATTGTGAATCTCTTTATTTTATTGGCAAAGTTTTACATACACAAACAGAAATCTGCTAAATCTTCTCCCACATTAACCGCCGTTTTTTGTATTGAGTTTTTTTTTCTACAGTGAAATTGTTAAAAAAACATAAAATCTGAGATATGCATCAAATATTATGACACTTTTAATAAATTCCCTGTCAATTACTAAAATCATCAGATGTAGAAATGCTGCACACTACTTTGTGTATTTTAATTTATTTTAATTTATTTATCTGTTTTGTCTATCTGTTTTATCTATTTGTTTTGTTTTTTGTTGACTTTTACCATTGTTGTATTCTTTTTTTGTGTGTTTCATTATTTGTGTTGTGTGTTTGTTCCTGACAGTTATGCAATTAAAAACAAACAAAAAAGGTCACAGTGCAGTTAAACAACGCCTACTATCTGCAGCTCTAGACCACCCCCTAGCGGACACTCCAAGTCATTTTCTCAGGCAGTTATTCAATACAAAGAGCAACACATCGTTGTGTAAATCATATCCATTTTAACTCTTCTTTGTATTTATTTATTTTTAATGATTCCAATTTATTTAACATTATATTTTAATGATCATATTGATCTTTAAACCACTACAGAGACACGATGCTTTCATCTGCAGTTACACACGAGAGGATTATCAGTGCAGCGACACAACAGGACAGCTCCTGATCCTCTCAATGCCTGAGCTGTTCTCATCAGAGCAGTCACACATGGGGAATATAACACAAGCTGCGCTAGACTTCATGAAGAAAGATTAGATAATATATGGGAAAGCAGTCATTTTATTTTCTACAAATCTACATTGAGCTCTATGACACTGATTTGACCAAACTGTACACATATTATTATTATACACTCTCCAGTATTCAGCTTTACGCTGCTCTCTGTAACTCGCCACACAAGAAGAAGAAGAGGAGGAGGAGGAGGTGGAGGAGATTATGTGCTTGTTCTGTCTTCTCTGTGTCCAGTTATTTGCTGTGTGCGTTACACTAGCTCCTGCTTTCCAGCCATGCTCTTCTATTAAAAAGAGGTGCAACAGTCCAGTTCTCAAAAAACAAACTTTAATTTGGTTGATGGATGTAGAACTTCCAGGCATTTATAATTGGTGTGATGATAGGTGTGTTTGTGTGTATGTGTGGTTTCCTATAAATGAAGAAAATACAAATTACCACACATTGATAATTACTGAAACTAATCATGGACATTTCAAACATATATGTGACATTTAAATGATATAAATTGTGTAACACAACAGAAATCAACATGATGACGCTGTTATAATAAGCATACATTGCTTACATTGGCATCGTTAATGTGTTGTATAGTCACAATAAACACCAATTAACTCACAAATCAAGTACTGTTCGTTGCAGTTATAAAGTGCATGCAAACAACATACCGGAGTTAACTTGAACATTTGTATTGGTAAGCTTAAGTGGGCTCACAGTGAATGCCTTTGAGGCAGAAAACTGCTTAGTCATCGTCATTGTAATATAATGTAAGGAGAGTCTTTCCAAGCTAAATATTGATAATAAGTCTAACATTAAGCTTTAATGATTACTTACTTGTCAATAAAGCACACAATTAGCACAAATTATAGCAAACACCAAGAACAATCTTCACTCCGTCTCGAACACGCGTGATTTACAGCAGTGTGACTAACTGAACGCTAACTAGATGAAGTGGTTATAGACCACACCCCGTGAGTTATTTCCAGTCCTATACTGCCATCTGTTGGTGCAGTTGTGTAACTCTGAGTACTTTGTACACCAGTGTTTATACTGCTTCAGGTAAAATCACCCTAGTAAAATTTGATAACCCTGCAGCTGTTTGACTCTTCTCTGCTCTGTTTAGAGTGTTTGTGACGGATGTTTTTCACTGAACTCATGATCTGCCGCTCCTTCAGAAACGAAAGTGAAAGTGTTTAGTTGTTGTGTCGCCATTTTAAACAGACAGAATCAACCATTTACCAGCGCAGAACAGCTTTAAATCTTTAATGTCTGGACAAAACCTGTAAGCTTTATGTGAATGTGTGTATGCGGTTATTATAATCAAACGGATGACGCTGTGATTCTTCATTAGTTTACTCGTGATGAGCTTCTGGATTTGAGTGTCTCAGCTGCTGATCTATTCCTGCATTCAGCTGAATTATGAAGGCTGATCAATGACTGGAGATCTGTGATTGTTCATCAGTTTCTGCTGGAGATCAAACTCTTCAGGTCCATCATGGGTAACACACACACTGCTGGAGATCAGGATTTGTCTACAAGATGCAGGTATTAGTCCTACACTTGACATTTCATATGATTATTACTTTTAATTTAACCAAAATAATTTTCGTTTTGTTCGTGGGTAGTTTTATTTTTATTTGATAACGTGACACAAATAAATAAAAATGAAATAAAGTGTTGTGTTAAGTGATTTTTAAATAATGACTGAATATCTGCTGTGTTGACTCCAGTGTGTGCAGCGCTGAACTTTAATCTTCTCTGTTTTAGTTCAGTTCATCAGAAGAGAGCAGAAGCAGAGCCCAGCTGTGTGTCTATGAAGAGTGACGCGTCTATGGATCCACCAGTAAAATTTAAGAGTGGAAACACACGACCTGCTGTCAGGTAGATCATCTCTACACACACATGATCACACTGCAGCATTTATATGATCCTGTGTTTCTAGAAGATTTAGATCTGTTGGGTTTCAGATGTTAGATGTTGTATCTGAGCTCTGCAGGATAGTGCTTGAAGATCTCCGCTTTACACTTCAGGCCACAATTGATGGTGTTAACAAACCAATCAGCGCTTTATTAATAGTGAGTGAGGTAGAAGGTGGGTTTAGGTTTTGGGTAGGGTTAGGGATCCACAATAAGATCATACTGTATGACTACTAATGAGCAGTTCATATGTTCACATTCCACAGATAATAAGCCGGTAGTTAATAGTATGAATTGTGAGCTGAACTAAAGTGTTCCCGATCTCCTGCCATAAAGGGCTTTTCCTGCACACTTTCCCCTGCTGTTTCTGTGCTGTACTGATCAGCCATTCCTCTGATCTGAGTCTGTTTTCACTGAAGCGCAGTCATCATCATGTTGTGTTGGCCTCATAGATGCTGCTGATCAACACATTTGGTCTCTAGAATTGATATTTCTCGAGTTCTCCTGCTCATTCAGTCATGATAGATGATGGTAAATGAACTTGTCTTGCTGTCCTCAAAGTCTGGACTGGAGCTCTGCAGACAAACCCCCGATGAGTGACCTTCTGCAGACTGAGTGATGAGGAGGAGGATAAGGGGAGCTGCTGGAGGCGGGAATAACAGTCAGCTGACACAGTGCAGTTTATACTGCTGCTTATATAGTCATGTGATGATGATTGACACGCCTGCATGATTAAGCTCCTCCCACACCTACACTGTCAGCTTCATTCAGTGATCTGATGATTAGTTTCAGCTCTAATCTGCTCTAATAGTACTGCATTTCTGTTGGGCTTCTCTACTAGAAATGAGCCTTGATCTGTGTTTGCTGATATTTTCCATATTCAGACAGTTTCTGTTCAAATATAAAGGAAATTAATTTAAGTGTTTTTGTAAATGAAGAATGATTAATGTCAGGTTTGTGCAGTGTGTGCAGCGCTGAACCTTAATCTTCTCTGTTTTAGTTCAGTTCATCAGAAGAGAGCAGAAGCAGAGCCCAGCTGTGTGTCTATGAAGAGTGACGCGTCTATGGATCCACCAATAGCATTTAAGAGTGAAATCACACGACCTGCTGTCAGGTAGATCATCTCTACACACACATGATCACACTGCAGCATTTATATGATCCTGTGTTTCTAGAAGATCAGACATTAACAAGTGTTACAAATACAGGAGACTTTAAAACTGAATCTCCACACACTCACATCTGATCATTAGTGAAGTACTAATAAAGTATTAATACTCAAACTGTTAGAGTTAGTCGAGTGAGTTTACAGGCTTTTACAATAGTCAGCAAAGTGTGGATAATCAAGAGAAAGATTTTAGACGAGATGAATGAACAAGTTCTGTGAGACAAACACACCACACAGTCTTTATTGTAACGGAGGCCAGCGAGTAAGTGCTGTGCAGGTAAACCTCACTCCTCTGACCTCTAAAGGTGCTCTAGTGACAGACGCTAGAGGTCATGGTCTTTAGCCTCCTTGGTAGAGCAACTGACCCCCATGCGGAAGGTCGCCGGTTGGATCCCAAGCTCGGAGTGGGTTGGGTGGTGTAGGACCGGCAGTGTTACACTTGTGCTCTCTCACATTTTCATCGTAATAGATTTTAAATGTCTTCAGTGAGCATCCAGCATCATTGTGAATGAAGGATATCAAATGATTGAAGTGTTACATTTAATAAATGACAAGTGCTATTAAATGTTTACAGCATTTTGAGCAGTAGATGTGATCAGTGTGTGCTGTTTAAATTAAATCTGATTAAATCTGTGTATTGTGTCTCAGGTGGTTCAGAGAAAACACACATGGCTTCACTAGAGGATCTTTACACTCACACTCATTGACTCTTTGTGTTGTTGTTGTTCCTGCAGTGTGGATGGAGATGATCAGACTGGAGACCTGCAGCAGGATTCACTCCAACCAGAACATGATGAACTTCAGAGAGTCAAAGAGCAGCACAAAACCAGCATGAAGAACAAGTATGAGAGATTATTTGAGGGAATCGACCATGGAGAGACTCAAACCCTCCTGAACAGCATCTACACACAGCTCTACATCATAGAAGGAGAGAGTGAAGGAGTGAATGAAGAACATGAGGTTTTACAGATGGAGAAAAGAGCCAGAACAAAACCCTCACAACACACTCCAGTCTACTGCAATGACATCTTTAAAGCCTCAGCTGGAGCAGGACATGAGGAGAAGATCAAGAAGGAGAAAGCCCAGATCAAGACTGTTCTCACTAAAGGCATCGCTGGAATCGGGAAAACCGTCTCTGTGCAGAAGTTCATTGTGGACTGGGCCGAGGGAAAAGACCATCAGGATGTAGATTTCATGTTTGTGCTTCCATTTCGAGAGCTGAACTTGATCAGAGATCATCAGTACAGTCTTCACAGACTTCTGCTGGACTTTCATCCTGAACTTGAAGATCTGGAGCCCAAGATTTATGAGCAGTGTAGAGTTGTGTTCATCTTTGATGGTCTGGATGAAAGCAGAATCACACTCAACTTTTCAGATGAGGAGAAAGTTTGTGCTGTGACTGAATCTTCATCAGTGGCTGTGTTGATGCGGAGCCTCCTGAAAGGAGATCTGCTTCCCTCTGCTCTCATCTGGATCACCTCCAGACCAGCAGCAGCCCATCAGATCCCCTCCAGATACATCAAGCGTCTGACAGAGATTCAGGGATTCACTGAGCCTCAGAAGGAGGAATATTTCAGGAAGAGAATCAGCGACGAGCATCAAGCCAGCAGAATCATCTCCCACATCAGAAGAGCAAGAAGCCTCCAGATCATGTGCCACATACCCGTCTTCTGCTGGATCTCCTCCACTGTGCTTCAGAAGCTCCTGGAAGAAGATGTGAGTGCAGAAATCCCTCAAACTCTGACTGAGATGTACATCCACTTCCTGCTGATTCAGATCAACATGAGGAAGCAGAAGTATGAAGAGAGAGATCCAGAGAAACTCCTGCAGGCCAACAGAGGAGTGATCCTCAAACTTGCTGAAGTGGCTTTCAGACAGCTGACGAAGGGCAATGTGATGTTCTATGAGGAGGACCTGATTGAGAGCGGCATAGACGTCACTGACGCCTCGGTGTATTCTGGGATCTGCACTGAGATCTTCAAGGAGGAATCTGTGATTCATCAGAGGAAAGTCTACAGCTTCATCCATCTCAGCTTTCAGGAGTTTCTGGCTGCTTTCTTTGTGCTTTACTGCCATTTAACAGAGAACAGAAAACCGCTGAGGGTGATTTATGATGAAGAATATTCATATGATCAATATCTACAGTCCAGCTCTGAGAAGTCTCTGTATGTTCTGCTCAGTTCAGCAGTAGATAAAGCTGTCAGGAGTAGTAATGGTCATCTGGATCTGTTCCTGCGGTTCCTGCTGGGCGTCTCACTGGAGTCCAATCAGAGACTCTTCCAGGATCTGCTGACACACACAGAGAAGAGCTCAGAGAACATCAGAGAAATCACACAGTACATTAAAGACCAGATCAAGACAGATGAGGATTTCTCAGCTGAAAGATCCATCAATCTGTTCCTCTGTCTGCTGGAGGTGAAAGATCAGACTCTGGCCAGAGAGATTCAGGAGTTTGTGAAATCAGACAAACACTCAGAGGAGGAACTCTCTCCTGCTCACTGCTCAACAATCTCCTACATGATTGAGATGTCAGAGGAGCCGCTGGATGAGTTAGACTCCAATAAATTCAACACATCAGATGAGGGAAGACGGAGACTGACAGCAGCTGTGAGAAACTGCAGAAGAGCTCTGTGAGTATTCATTGATTGATCACAGAAGACACACATCAGTCTGCACTGAAGACTCAGATCAGTTTAGTGAATCACTGCCCTGCTTTAACAGAAAATCTTTAGCTGGCCATATCGTCCCCCTGTGAGATCGCTGATACACCATATTACTGCATGGGGACGCGGCGGCAGTGTTCTGTTTCCTTATTTGCTCATTTATTTCAGCATTTCTAAACGTATTTAACAAACTATTCTTGACTTTTTACTCACACAAACAACATTTGTACTTATTTAATAATCTACTTCATTTACTTTACAGTTTATCCTGGAAAATAACTCAAATCC